GGCTCACGTCTGTAATCTCAGTGCTTTGGGAGGCCAAGAAGGGAAGATTGCTTGAGGCCAGAAGTTCGAGACCAGTGTGGGCAACATGGCAAGACCCTGTTCTACAAAAAACAAATAAAAATTTAGCTGGGAGTGGTGGTGTGTGCCTGTATTTCTCAGCTACTCAGGAGGCTAGGATCCTTTGAGCCCAGGAGTTCAAAGTTACAGTGAACTATGATCACACCTCTACATTCTAGCCTGGGTAATACAGTGAGACGTGGTCTCTAAAAACAAAATATGGACCAAACGCAGCGGCTCATGCCTGTATTTTACTATTATTATTACATTTTTTTTTTTTCTAGTTGGAGTTTCACTCTGTCGCCCAGGTTGGAGGGCAGTGGCACACTCACGGCCACCCCAGCATCGACCTGCTGGGCTTCAGCAATCCTTCCACCTCAGTCTTTCAAGTAGCCAGAAATATAAGCATGCGTTACCATACTCAGCTAATTTTTTATTTATTGCAGAAACAAGGTCTCGCCAAGTTGCCCACACTGGTCTTGAACCCAGGGGGCTCAGGCAGTCCATTCACTGAGGCCTCCCAAAGTACTGGGATTACAGGCTGAGCCACCGAGCCCGGCTTATTATTATTATCTTTGAGTAGGAGTCTCATGCTGTTGCCCAGGCTGGAGCGTAGTGGCACACTCACAGCCACCACAGTCTCGAACTGCTGGGCTCAGGCAATCCTTCCACCCCAGCCTTCCAAGTAGCTTGAAATACAGGCATGTGCCTCCATGACTGTTAATTTTTTTTTTTTTTGAGTTGGAGTCTCAGTCTATCACCCAGGCTAGAGTACAGTGGCACACTCATGGTCACCCCGGCATCGATCTGCTGGGCTCCAGCAATCCTTTTGCCTCAGTTTTCCAAGTACCCAGAAATACAAGCATGCACTACCACACTCAGCCAGTTTTTTATTTATTGTAGAGACAAGGTCTTGCCAAGTTTCCCAGACTGGTCTCGAACCCAGGGGGCTCAGGCAATCCATTCACCGAGGCCTCCCAAAGTGCTGGGATTACAGGCTTGAGCCACCGTGCCCGGACAAATTTTTTTGATTTATTGTAGAGACGAGATCTCGCCAAGTTGCCCAGACTAGTCTCAAACTCCCAGACTCAGGCAATCCTCTCACCTCAGCTTCTCAAAGTGCTGGGATTACCGACATGAGCCACTGTGCCCGGCTGGCTCATGCCTGTAATCCCAAAACTTTGGGAGACCGAGATGGGAGGATTGCTTGAGGTCAGGAGACAGAAATTGGCCTGGGCTCATGCCTGTATTTTACTATTATTATTACTTTTTTTTTCTAGTTGGAGTTTTATTCTGTCGCCCAGGTTGGAGGGCAACGGCACACTCACAGCCACCCCAGCCTCAACTTGCTGGGCTCAGGTGATCCTTCCACCTCAGCCTTCCAATTAGCTGTTAACTACAGGCGAGTGCTACCACGCCTGGCTAATTTTTTTATTTGCTGTAGAGATGAGGTCTTGCCAAGTTGTCCAGACTGTTCTCCAATCCATGGGCTCAGGCAATCCCTTCACCCTGACCTCCTAAAATGCTGGGATTACAGGCTTGAGCCACTGTGCCCGGACAAAGTTTTTTGATCTATTGTAGATACGAGATCTTGCCAAGTTGCCCAGACTGTTCTCCAATCCATGGGCTCAGGCAATCCCCTCACCCTGGCCTCCTAAAATGCTGGGATTAAAGGCTTGATACACCATGCCTGGGCAAATTTTTTTGATTTATTGTAGATACGAGATCTCGTCAAGTTGTTCAGTCTCAAACTCCCAGACTCAGGCAATCCCCTCACCTCAGCTTCTCAAAGTGCTGGGATCACCGGTGTGAGCCACTGCACCCGGCTGGCTCATGCCTGTAATCCCAAAACTTTGGGAGGCCGAGGTGGGAAGATTGCTTGAGGTCAGGAGACAGAAATTGGCCTGGGCAACATAGCAAGACCTCATCTATGCAAAAAGTTTAAAAATTAGCCAGGTGTGGTGGTATGAACCTGTGGTCCCAGCCATTAGGGATACTGATGCAGGAGGATCGCCTGAACCCAGCAGGTTGAGACTTCAATGAACTGTGAACATGCCGCTGTACTCTAGCCTGGCTGAGAGTGAGAACCCAACTCAAAAAAAAAAAAAAAAAAGAATGGTCAGAAAAGCTGAATCCAGGCACAGACCTGATTTTGTCTGGTCCCTTTTCAGTTGCAAAAAAAGAAGGAAAGAGCAAGGGGCTTGCTCTGGGTTATCCAGAATCCAGAAGAGGCTTCCCTCTGCCCTGTCCCTCTCCAGACCATAGACCTCCCAACCACCCTGCTGTCAGCATTCTGGGAAGTGAATGTAACTTCGAGGTCCTCTTTGTTGTTCTGCCTTCTTTTGTTCTCACACAGTTTCTTTGCTTATCTCCTTAGTGAAGATGCTTTTAGTTTTTCTTTTTGAATCCCTCAAATCACAAGTATTAAAAATTGACACTAGTTCTTAGAGCAGTTCAGTTCCCTCATATTTTACAAAATGTAATTTGCAGTATTTTCAGGAGATAAAGGCGAACTAGTACTAATTCAGTACTAATATTTCCATTTTAATTTTTTTTTTTTTTTTTTTGTAAAGACGGGATCTCACTATGTTTCCCAGGTTGGTCTCAGACTCCTGACTTCAAGGGATCCTTCTGTCTCGGCTTCCCAAAGTGCTGGGATTTATAGGCCTGAGCCACTGAGCCTCGCCAGTGTTTCCATTCTAAAACAAGGAAATGAGAACATGGAAAACATAAATTGTTCAAGGTCACGGGGATTATCCCTCTCAGGAGCAGTGTTTCTCAAAGCATAATATGGCAACTACTAGAAAACAGTGTTTTAAGACCTGCTCAATCCAGCCAAGACCAGGAAATACAGGGATTGCAGTAAGGCTGTAAACTGCCAAATACTACAGTCATGTGTGCCACATAACAACTGACCACATATACAAAGGGTGATCTCAGGTGGTTACAATGGAGCTGAAAAATTCCTATTCCTAGTAGTATCCTCATGATCCCAACCCTGTGTAGGCCTAAGCTAATATGTGTATCTGTGTCTTAATTTTTTTTTTTGAGTTGGAATCTCACTCCATTGCCCAGGTTGGAGTGCAGTGGCACACTCCCAGCCACCGCAGACTCAACCTGCTGGGCTCCGGCGATCCTTCCGCCTCAGCCTTCCAAGTAGCTGGTGTGTCTTAATTTTTAACAAAAAAGTTTTAAAAGTTTTAAAAAATTAAAAATAGAAAAAAGCTCATGGAACAGAATATAAAAAATATTTTTGTACAGTTGTACAATGTGTTTGTTTTAAGCCAAGTGTTATTACAAAGGAGTTGAAAAGTTTAAAAATTAAAGTTTATAAACTAAAAATGTTACAGTAGGTAAAGTTTATTACTGAAGAAAAAATATTTTTTCATAAATTTAGTGTAGCCAGAGTTTACAAAGTCTACAGAGTGTACAGTCATGTCCTAGGCTTTCACAGTCACTCACCATAACTCAGTGACTTACCTAGAACAACTTCCAGTCCTGCAAGCTCCATTCAAGGCTAAGTGCCCTAGACAGGTGGACCCTTTTTATCTTTTATAAAATTGTATTTTTACTGTACTTTTCCATGTTTAGATACACAAAACCACGATGTTACAACTGCCTATAGTATTCAGGACAGTAGCATGCTGTCCAGGTTTGTAGCCCAGGAGCAACAGGCCAGGTGTGTAGTAGGCTAGACCAGTAGGAAAAACAAACCTAATTAAATTTGGTTAATACAAATTGCTTCAATAATCCTAGAATTCTGACACTGCACATCAACTACCATTGGCTGGAGAGACAACCCTATACAACTGGCATTATGGGGGAAGTGGGACCCAATGCTTACAAATAACAGAAATTCATCTACCATTTTCCTTTTTAAAAATATATGACTTATTTTTAGGCTAACAGAAGAATCAAGTTTAAAGCAAGTCTCTTCCAGGGAGCAAAAGGAGTTCAAGTCACAAAATATTAAGAGAGCAATAAAATTTTCTTTCTTTTAATAAGGCAGCGGAACTATCCAGTCAACAGATTCTATTCTGAGTGCATACTGTCCACACAAGGTACTGTGAACCAGGGACTACGAAGCCACCAGTTCGTTTCAAGGAATAAACCAACAGACGATGCTTCTGACAAACTGTGACTTCAGGTTAAGTTCCACCCCACAGGATCACGAGCCGAGAAAAAAATGACTAAAAAGCAAAAAAAAAGGAACCAGAGGAGGAGGAACCAGAAGGAGGGTGTTCCGAGGTTTCTTTGAAGATAAGCTCTAATTTATACCACAAGAAGAAGTTCACTTCCAAAACAGACAAAGCTCTATTCAACAAAAAAGTCGGGAGGGGGGCTTTCTTGGTCAATCTCTCCGAGCACTTGTTACGGGCACGCCCGGGAGCGGGGGCGCCCTCCGAAAAGTATGACGCAGGGGTTTCTGAAAATGACTCCGTAACTAATGTCGCCGTGGACCGGGCCCCGACCACCTCCCGGCGCCCACTCGACGCGAACCCGGGCTCAACGCCGTGAACGCCCTAGTACGCGAGGGAGCAATTTCCGCCTTATGTATTTGATCGTTGTCTTCAAAGTCCAGGCAAGCGAGGCCTCCTGTGGGTGAAGGGCGGGGATACAGTGGGAAAGCCCACAAGGGACAAACCCCAATTCCTCCTGCACCCATTTCCGACCGCACTCACCCCACACGTGGCTGTGATGGGAAAGACATCGCCCCAAGACTCCCTTCCAAGGGGGTCCGCCAAAGGTCACCTCCCCACGCTCAGGCCGAGGGACACCCGAGCGGCTGCGACGAAGAAGGCAGGGCGCTCCACGGGCCCAGCCCGACTCTGGAGTGCGGGAAGACACGGGCCGCGTTCTCTGGCCCGCGCGGGGTCGCCCCTTCCCGCCCAGGCCTGCGGGCCCCAGCCGCGTGACCCTCCCGGCGGGCCTCGCGCACTTACCCCCGGTTAGGGCCCTTAGGGATGAACCAAGGCACCAAGAAGCCGACGAAGCCCCAGAACACGCTCATCACAATGAGGGGCACCGTGAGGCCGTGGTACGCCATGGTCGCCGCCGGAGCTGCCAGGCCCTGCGAGCCCCTGTCCCCGCGACGCCCTCGGGTCCCACCCGGAAGTGTCAACGCCGGCCCGCGTGACCGGCGTGCACGAAGCCCCGCCTCCCGTGCCCCCACGTGACCCGCGCGCCGAACTCCGCCCCTCGGGGAACCCTGAGTCGGAGCTCCGCGCCAGCCCGGTAGGTCGGAAGGTTGCTCGGGGAGCCGTCACTCAGCCCAGAACTAAGGGGACAGTCACCCGCGGCTCAACAAAGTGTTCTGATAAGAACCTAGCCCTTTTAGGCAAAGTTAGTGACAGTTTTATCTGCTTCGTGGGTGTGTGTGTGTGTGTGTGTCAATGTGTCAGTGGCTCACTCTATCGCCCAGGCTGGAGTGCAGTGGCACAATCACGGCTCCTACAGCCTCGACCTCCTGGACTCAGACAATCCTCCCGACTCAGCCTTCGAAGTAGCTGGGACTACAGGTGGGCCCCATCACGCCCAGTTCATTTTTTAAATTTTCATTTTTGTAGAGACAGGGTCTCACTATGTTGTTAGACTGCCCTCAAACTCCTGGGTTCAAGCAGTCCTCCTGACTCGATCTCCCAAAGTGCTGGGATTACAGGTGTGAGACCCCACACCCAGTGCTTTATCTACTTCTTATTCAAAAGACATATATGAAGAACTTAACCATAGTAACTTACTGTTCTGAATTCCTCTATGCCCAGCGCTGAACCATGGGCTTTAAGTGCATGAGTTCCTGTTGAACATCTCCCTACAACCCATGAGATGGTTATAGTTATTATTGCCACTTTGCAGTTGAAGAAACTAAAGCTCATGAGGAGGTTAAGGGTCTTGCCCAAAGTCAAATAGTAAGTGGCAGGGCTAGGATTCAACCTCTGTTCTGATTTTCTTTTTCTTTTTATGAGTCAGAGTTTCACTCTGTCGCTCAGACTGGAGTGCAGTGGCATGCTTACGTCCACTGCAGCCTCAAACTGTTGGGCTCAGGTGATCTTTCTACCTCAGCCTTCCAAGTAGCTGGAACTACAGGTTTGCACCACCACACCCAGCTAATTTTTTTATTTATTGTAGAGCCGAGGTCTCACCATGTTGCTCAAGCTGGTCTCAAACCTGTGGGTTCAGGCAATCCTCTTGCCTCTGCTTCCCAAACTGCTGGGATTATAAGCCGGAACCATGGTGCCCAGCCTCTGGTCTGACTTTCAAGGCCAGAGCTCTTAACAACTGCACTACTGTAGGCCTTGTGCACTGTGCCAGATTCTAGGGTTAACAAAAGTCAATCAGACATCCCTCAGGTGTTCACATTCTGAGGAGCAGATGGTCTTGCAGACAGGCTGCTCATTGCAGTGTGAAAGTAGAGTGTATGATTGTGCATGACTTTCCACACCAGCTGGTCCTCAGCTGAGCCATGAAAGAGAAGTAGGAACTAGCCAGAATAGTAAGAAGATAGAGTTTCTAATTCTTGCTGAGAATTTTCACATGAGTTGATTATAGTACACAACAACCTTGGAACAGAGGAGAATGCCAGTTCTCAGGTTAAGGAGCCAGATAAAGCTTCCGGGTGAGCCAGGTGTGGTGGCTCATGCCTGTAATCCCAGCACTTTGGAAGCAGAGGCAAAAAAGATTGCCTGAGTCCAAGGGTTTGAGACCAGCCTGGGCAACTCGTCTCTACAATAAATCAAAAAATTAGCCAGGTGTGGTGGCACACACCTGTAGCTCCATCTACTTGGAAGACTGAGGCAGAAGAATTGCCTGAGCCCAGCAAGTCAAGACTGCAGTGGTCGTGAGCGAGTGGTCCACTGCACTCCAGTCTGGGTGACAGAGTGAGACTCCTACTCAAAAAAAAAAGCTTCCAAGCAAAAGCAAGACAGAAAGAACTGTGAACTCAATTCAATGTGCTTTACCATGGACTACGGATTCCTTGCAGTACCAAGTCTTCAAACATGATTCTACGTCTTTACCTGACCAACAGTGTAGGAAATTAATTGATCTCCTTTGTGCTCCTACCACTACCCCAAAACTTAGCCTTTAAGGCTAAATCTTAAATTCTAAGTACTACTGTCTTAAATTCCAGTCCAAGCACTACCTTCTCCATAAACATGTTTCATTCTGTTAGTGCATCTCTTTGGCCTTGTTAACTGTGTGTGTGTACCTTGACCAACCCTCTACTACAGGGCAAACTCCCAGAGAAGAGGCACATTTAACTGATCTCTGTGTCTGGTGGCACTTTAATTTCATTACTTTATTGTTGCTGCTGCTGTTGTTGTTATTATTATTTTGAGTCGGAGTCTTCCAGGCTGCATTGCAGTGGCATGCTCATGGGTACTGCAGTCTTGACCTGCTGTTCAGGCAATCCTGGCACCTCAGCCTTCCACATAGCTGGACTACAGGCTTGTGCCACCATGCCCAGCTAATTTTTCGATTTATTGTAGAGATGAGATCTCACCACATTTGTTGGGCTGGTCTCAAACTCCTGGGCTCAGGCAATCCTCTTGTCTTAGCCTCCCAAAGTGCTGTGATTATCGGCATGAGCCATGGTGCCCTACTGGGAGCAATTTATACATAGAAAATGCTTAACAAATAATTGTGCAGCTGAACTGAGTTAAGAAACCCTGAGTTAAGAAAGGGTGAAACTGGGCCCATGTAGAATCACAGCGACTCGGGAGGCTGAGGCAGGAGGATTGTTTAAGCCCAGGAATTTGAGGTTACGGTAAGCTATGATTGAGCTCACCAGACTCCAGTCTGGGCGACAGAGTGAGATCCCCTCTGTATTAAAAAAAAGAAAAAGAAAAAGGTAAAATCAGCCAGAACAAAATTAAAGAAAGAAGTTCACTTCTACTTTCCTATTAATCTATTAATTAACTTTTTTTTTTTTTTTTTGAGTTGGAGTCTCACTCTGTCACCCAGACTGGAGTGCAGTGGCCGCTCCCGGCCACCTCAGCCTCAACCTGCTGGGCTCTGGCGATCCTTCCGCCTCAGCCTTCCAAGTAGCTGGAATTACAGGCATACACTACCACACCCGGCTAATTTTTTGAGTTATTATAGAGATGAGGTCTCGCCAAGTTGCCCAGGCAGGTCTCGAACCCGCGGGCTCAGGCAATCCACTCACCTCAGCCTCCCAAAGGCGCGGGATTACAGGCTGATAATTAACTTATTTTTTCTTTTTTTCTTTTTTTCTTTTTTTTTTGAGTCAGAGTCCCACTCTGTCACCCAGGCTGGAAGAGTAGTGGTACACTCATGGCCACCACAGCCTTGACCTGCTGGGCCCAGGTGATCCTTCTGTTTCAGCCTTCCAAGTAGCTGGAACTACAGGCATGTGTCACCACATCCTGCTAATTTTTCTTGATTTATTGCAGAGATGAGGTCTTGCCAACTTGTCCAAGCTGGCCTCAAACCCCTGGGCTCAGGCAATCCTCTCACCTCTACCTCCCAAAGTGCTGGGATTACAGGCATGAGCACCAGGCCTGGCCTTATTTTTCATAATAATGGTAAAATACACATAACATAAAATTTACCGTCTAAATCTTATTTGTGTATTTATTTTAAGTTGGGGGTCTTATTCTGTCACCCAGGTTGAATTGCAGTGGCACGATCATGCTCACTGCAGCCTCTACCTCCTGGGCTCAGGCGATTCATCCTCCTCAGCCTCCCAAGTTGCTGGGACCACATCTGGCTTATTTAAAAAATTTCTTTGTAGGGATGAGGTCTTGCCAATATTGCCCAGGCTGGTCTGGAACTCCTGTGCTTGACCAATCTTCCACCAAAGTGTTAGGATTACAGGCGAAAGCTACTGTGTCTGGCTTTAACCATTTTTCAGTGTACAGCTAAGTGTGTTCACACTGTTGTGCAATGAATCTCCAGAACTTTTCCATACTCATTAAACAAACACATCTCATTTTCCATCCCCCAGCCCTCGCAGCCACCATTCTACTTTCTGTCCCTATGTGTTGGGCGACTCTAGTTACTTCCTGGAAGTAAAATCACACAGCATTTGTCCTTTTGTGACTGGCTTATTTAACTTCGCTTCATCTTTTCAAGGTTTGTTTATGTTGTACAAGTGTCAAAACTTCTTTTTTGTTTTGTAGATTAAAAAATATAGTTTATTTAAAAAGTAAATTAGAGAGAGAGAGGAGATTCACCTCCCCAAGGTAGGGGAGGGGGCCAAAGCCAGGAAACATGGCAACAGCCATAACTCAAAGAGCACATGGCCACACCAAAGTCTAGTAGCAATGGCCTATTTCCTTCATTTTTAAAGCTGAATAATGTTCCCTGTGTATACATACTACATTTTGTTTATTCATCCATTAATGGAATTTGTTGCTATTGTGAATTATTTCCCATTTCTTAAGTAAATGCAAATAATTTCTCTTAGTCCTTTTAAGTAGGGTGTCTAAACTTTGCCTTGCCTTCTTGGCAGCCTCTTTATAAACCATCTTGGGAAGTGCAGAGATGTAACTCTTTTTTGGGGGGGGTTGAAGTTTGGAGTCTTACTCTGTCGCCCACACTGGAGGGCAATGGTACGCTCACAGCCACCACAGCCTCAATCTGCTGGGCTCAGGTGATCCTTCCACCTCAGCCTTCCAATGAGCTGGAACTACAAGCGTGCACTACCACGCCCGGTTAATTTTTTGATTTATTGTAGAGACGAAGTCTTGCCAAGTTGCCCAGACTGGTCTTGAACCCGTGGGCTCAGGCAATCCTCTCGCCTCTGCCTCCCAAAGTACTGGAATTACAGGCTTGAGCTACCTCGCCCAGCCTGGATATAATTCTTCAGAGACCAGTTCTGTTTAAATCTATGGGTTTCATCCACTGTGAAATGAGAAAAATTAGTATGTTAAAACTGACTCGGGGCAATCCCTTCGGGCCCCCTCCTGTTGTGGGAGCTTTTCTGTCCTCAATAAATCCTGCTTTCAAAAAAAGAAAAAGAAAAAAAAAAACTGACTCCAGGCGTGGTGGCTCATGCCTGTAATTCCAGCACTTTGGGAGGTTGAGGAGACAGGATTGCCCAAGCCCAGGGGTTTAAGACCAGCTGGGCAACTTGGTGAAACCTTGTCTCTACAATAAATCGAAAAATTAGCCCAGCATGG